AACAACGAACGTTAACTTCAGCAATACAAGTCCTTCCTTAAATAAAACTAGTTTATTCTTTCTTAATACAACTTGGAAATTCACTTAATTTCCACGGTCACGCTATAACTTAAACAAACGCTATAATTCACAATGAACGATTCACGCGCTTGGCTCAATTGTCCGTCTCTATCTCTGTCTGCAATTCAATTACATTTTTGCCGTCACTTCTTGGCGGTCTTATATACAAGAATACCGTACATCTAGTAAACACTCGAGCATTCAAGAACCTTCGAGAATATCATGACGTGTTACTAGCGTCACGTGTCGTAACACTATTTAAACCTTTAGATATTAACACCATCAGTACAATAGCAGCTTCATCTTGCTATCTCACAAATTAGAATATTAAAATTATAGCTTAAAACAATATCGTTTGTCTGGAGCCGTACATTCAAACGAGAACGTAAGTTTTTAAACATATAACAATAATTAATTCCACTTTCATATTAATCCCGAAGAAGAGAAATTGCTCGAAACGTCATTATATAAAATAAATTTATTTTTATTTCAACGTTATGGTTTTACAGTGATTTTACTTTTTGCCAACGCTGTGAGGATTCAAATTCTTCTGGTAACCAACAGTAAACTATTTTTATCACACTTTACTCTAAATATTTTTATACTCCTTCTCATTTTGTCCTTGTTTCTTTAGTTTTTGCCTTAATAACTAAACGTTTGTTTAAGTTTATCCTGTTTATTATTCAGGAAACCCGCTCGAAACTTACTTTATATTAATTATCTCACTTTTGTTAAATAATTCACTGTCGTATAGGTGACGCTTTGAAACGAAGATGGTAGGTAGTATCAGTAGAGATGTTGTTTTACTTTCACTCTTGAAATTAAAATTGCGATATGATTCTTTCTCGTGTATTAAATAAAAATAGATCGTAATATAAGTGTTTGTCGATCATCGCATGAGAAGTACAAATGTAATTCATCAGTCATGTTGCCAGGGATTGGCATTTTTGGGACTGGAAAAATTGTCTATGTATTGGTTCCTTGCTTCCGTACGCGTGGGTTCAGGGTCGAAGCGATATGGGGTCGTACCCAAGAGGATGCTGAGAAAGTGGCTGAACAATTAGACATACCGTTTTCTACGAATAAAGTAGATGAAGTGTTGTTACGTAAAGATGTGGATTTAGTATGTATTGTATGTTCTCCTCATCTTCATTCGCAAATTACAGTGAAAGCACTAGGAATTGGAAAACATGTTTTATGTGATAAGCCTGCTGGACTAAGTCAAAATGAAGTGTTAAAGATGGTTAGAGCTGCCCAGTATTATCCATCACTTATATCTGTTTTATGTCATAGCCTCAGATTTTTGCCAGTATTTATTCAAATGAAAAAGGCTATAGATGAAGGGTATATTGGTGAAATTACTGTATGTGATATTCGTGTTCAGTGTGGTAGCCTTTTGCACAAACAGTATGACTGGATGTGTGAGGAAGTAATGGGTGGAGGCATCTTGACGAATGTAGGAAGCCACATAATAGATGTTATATGTTACTTAACAAGCAAAAGAGCTGTAAAAGTTCATGGGATGATCCGCACTTATACCAAAACTACTGAACACATCCATGGAATTCGACAGATAAGTAGTGATGACTTCTGTACATTCCAGATGGAACTAGAAGGAGGATCATGCTCCACTGTAACTTTGAACAACCATCTTCCGGGCCAGTTTAACCAAGAAGTCCTTGTATGTGGCACAAAGGGACATGTTGCTGTTAGAGGAGGAGACCTGTATGGTCAGAAAAAAGGCTCCGTCAAGGAAGATGTTCTTTTTCTTGATGTTGAAGACCTGAAATATTCACCAAAGTGCATGAAAGGTGCTTCATCATCATCATTATTAGCAGAAACCCCAGATGGACTCAACACAAACAACATGAGTTTTATTTTGCCAAAGCTCTACTTGAAAGGGTTTGTTAAAATAGTAAGTGCATTGAGAGAAGCTTTTATATCGGTTCAGGACAAACAGTGTTGGGTGAAAGAACCTGTTGCAATGGCAGCAACATTTGAAGATGGCCAGTACATTCAAGCAGTTATTGATGCTCTCAGAAAATCATCTAAAAACAAAGAATGGGTGAAAGTTGAAATGCTTACAGAAGAAATACCAGATTCATATCTTCCACTCGGTGAAAGACAAGCATCATTCTAGTATGTTTGCTTCATTTGTATGTTTCATTTTTATTATTTTGCTGTATTTATTTGTACAGTATAATTAGAAGCTGTGAAAAATTTTAAAATTAGGCAACCATATTAAATTTTGAGGAAATTTGAAGTTTCATGAAAGTTTTAATATTACAGGTTTGCTGTAATTTCAGTTAAATAGTCAAAACTTTAGTGTTTAAAAATGTATGGTTTGAATATTCATTTGTATTTGTATTTTAAAAAAAATCTAATGCTATAAGTGTGTTTCTTGAAGTCCAGTTCACTTTTGAGGCATTATGAATATCACTTATTAGTGATTTTTCATGTGATGTTACCATGTATTTACTTCTCCTAATAATACATGTTTCTCCTGTGCAGTAAGATTGTTTAAATCTTTTAAAAAGACATTGAAAATATAATTTTTTTTAGACTCACAAAAATTTAATTAGTAAAGTTAGAAACATCAACATATTAGGAAAGCTAATGTTTAAACAATTTATTTTTATGAACAGCATGGAGCCATTTGATTTTTCAAGGTTGTATTTGCACACCCACCCTTAGGAAAAGTAAAAATTTAAAGCCACTCTTTATTTTCAGGAAGTAATCAATTCCTTTCCTTAATGGCTGTAAAAAATAAAGCTACAATTAACCTCACTTTAAAACCATGAATCCATGTTGAAAATAAAATATTTTAAGTTAAAAACTGACAACAAGAGGAGGGAATAGAATTTTATTCATGACATAAGCTTTATTAAATATTTCATTTTATACCAAAGTATCGTAGATATAAGAATAAAAAAATGTAAGAAAGCCAGTTAGCCTCTCAGTGTCACCAGTCAGCCATTAGAAGAGCCCATGCACATTTGCTTGATTAAAATTACCTTATCAATAAACTTCAGCAATTGAATCTGGAAGATTGAAGATACAACTGAAAGGTAGAAACTAAAGTAATTCATCAAGGAAACAATTTCACTGGGAGTGGAACTTCATGTGTATATATTTATACTTTGTGTAGCAAGGAGTACATGTCAGAATTCCTGTTATAGAAAATGTAACTTGTGTTGAAACTTTGATAGAACATATATGTATACATTTCTCTAGTTAAAGTACATTGCTAAAAGGTGTGTTAAGAATAAAATTTAAAAAGTATGCATATGTATGAAAGATGGTGAGATAAAGAATAAAAAATGTGAGAAGTTTTTGTTCATAATTAAAAGCCCTGATTTAGCTGCAGTGGCAAAATGTTGGTCAAAATTAAAAGTTTTTATTATTATTATTATCTGGAGAGTAATGCTCTCTCTTTTTTTTCTAATTTTATTGCCAAAATGTTGTAATTAATCACTTTTTCAAATAAGATTTATATCAACTCAGACTGTAAAGCAAAGAAAGGTTTTCAGGCAAATTTGCATAATCACTTCTTGTATATAGGAATAGTTTCATCCTGTACATTGTAAGTATAAGATTAATTGGGATAGATATGAAAACTGTAAGTTTGATTCTTTGGCTGAAAATGGAGAATTTATGAATAATTTTAGATGTATGTGATTTAAACTCAACAGTATTATACAGTAATATTTTACTTGCATGTACAACACTGTATGCTCAGTTGTGACATGTTGTATATTTTTAAAATTAAATATGTAGTTACTACAAAAATTTAGTTTCACCATTAACTAAACATCTCACACTCTTACTTAGAACAGTATTGGTTAATAGACTTGTTTATTAATTAATTAATTTTGAAGACAAAACTATAAGGTTAGCAGGTTTTTTCCTTTCTTTAAAATACTTTAAAATAACCATAAGTTTATGGGGGTTTACTGTGATATATTTTCATAATTAAAGAAACAGGTGTGTATGACAACAGATAATTCAAAATTATAACATCTGATTTACTTTAAAATAATTGTCAATACAACTGCTATTACTTAAAATATTAATCAGCTACTATAACAAATACATGTTGAAACTTTTTTAAATAGGTATTGCAGAAAAAAAAAGCACTTATCTCAAAAAAATATAATTATCTGAGGAAAAATTTCTATACTCATGAGTTGAAATTGTTTGTGTGTTCTGAAATGGTTTCTTAATGTGACAGGTTAAATTTTTGTACAACTGACAGAAAGTCATGAACATGCTCCTGCCTTCCTACTTGGATTTGAAGATTAAAAGTATAGAATCTGTTTCTATAAGGACAGAGGAATGAGCAAGGCAACAAAAAAGGTTCATAAACCTATGTAACCAAACTGTTTTTACACTTCTAAACAATTTACCCTATTATACTTAAGTGGAATTTGTACACATGTATATAAACATACATATTATTAAAACCTAATCCAATCCGAACCTTTATTAAGAGTCTTCTTAAAGACATAACAATTGAGAGTTACATAGATATCCTCCCATGAAAAAGATGTTTAAGTATAGATTTTGAATGTAATTAGTAAAACATATCAAATTTATCGAAATATAACACCCATCTTTCTTTTAGGTCTCATTCTTATGCAGATAAAAAACAAAATATTCAGACCTTTTTCATAACCCCAAAAATATTCCAAGAATATCTTAAAGTTTATATCAGCTCCTTATTAATCTTCTTTAACATTTTTAATTATGTTTTTTTCTCTACAGGGACTATGTTTTGTTTATAGTTGATTATGCCTGTATGTTAATTTTCTTTGCCACTAAGCAAGCCTTCCACATGTGTAATATGTCTTTCTCCTTCTCCATCAGCACTTCGAAAACTTGATAAAGAGCTATTGAATGCATCTTATTTCTTATATAAACTAAAACAAACTCTTCTTTTCAGATTTCTCATATTATTTAAGTAACTTTCAGTGTTTTTCTCAGTCTGTCAATTAGATCATAATTTATCTAACTCATGATTTTTTATAAACTGCTTTTAGCTTACTATTCAGCAATTGGACTTGTAATGCATAACATAATGTTGATAAATTATATATGTGATAATAACATTTAAATATTTTAATGTTTATTATACTTTTTTATGAAATATGATGCTTGGTTACAAATTGTTTTCTTTGCTACAGCCTTTATGAGTTTCACACTGTAATACAATCAAACTATTCACATGTAATAAATTCAGTTTTATTATTTTACATGTAATAACTTTGCCCTTACTGTAAGAGCAAATTTTTATCAGTAAAATTTCAAACATTTTATTAAGACTGTCAGATAGGTACATCCTAGTCTTATTGTCAAACTATGATTTTGTTATCTTTTACAGTGTCTTTCTTGACTTTGCTTATTTTACTAAATGTCAGAAGAATTCCAACACATTAACTTAAAGTTTTCTTTGAAGAGGTATTTCTTTATACATCTATTAACAGATAAATGACAATTAAGAACTATCATGTGACATACTACACTGTTTGTATGTAGTACATTTTCTATACTTTCATAAAAATTAGTCACTAATTCGCTCTTTTTACAAAAATATAAAAATATTTTGTAGCTTCTGTAGTTAGATTTTTATTCATAAGCTCTCTCGTCCACCAATTTCTAAACATAGTCCATTTTAGTTAACTGAAGTGTTCATTCATTTCTGGACTGATGAGGTCATTAATGATAATTTGTTAAAAATAATTAGTATAAGCTTTGGAAATTTAGATTCAGACTTATTCTTTGTTTAATTTCTTTCTTTTTTGTTAGTTTTCAGAATAGCTTGCCTGAGGATAAAATGTTTGCTTAGATTTTGTTTTCAACAAATTATGGGATAGTCTAGATATATGGATATGAAAGGCTACAGTTAGTTTGACTCATGACTGGTATTTGTTTTTCAGGCATTATGAGGGACCTCAGTGGATCAGATGGTCTGCTGTCATCATACACATTGTTCTAATATGTTAAGAGCTTTGTTTTTGTTTTCCTAATTGTACAATTTATTTGTACTGTAATGTACATTTGAATGTCTCAGAATGAAACATGATAAAGGTTATTACTTTTAAGTCATATTTGAATTTGAAGAATCTGTATAGAACCACAATCATATTCAATATTATTTTTAAAATATTTAAGTATGTGAAAAAAAACAATAATTAGTTACAACATGTGTGAGTGCTCAGAAAGTAAAGTGAAATAAAAAGTTTTAAGGCAGTGACAGTCAAAGAAAGTACCAGAAGCTTTGTTATACAGTGGTACACCTAAAATTAAAGTGCCATGATGAAATATCTTTGATGATTATATTGAAGTTTAACCAATTTTACTTTTGTTGTTTTTTTTTGCCAACATTATTGTCTTTGTCCTTAAGCAATTTTTTTACCTCTGATTTTGTGCGCTACTAGGCAGCTGGCTTGCCATTTACAGTGCACTCTAGTTTGTCTTCCTTTCACATGTGAAGAGTACAGCATGTATGTGCAGCATGTATTTTGTGAAAATTATTGATTTATAAAACATTGTATAGTCACTAAATATGTGTAAAAGTATACACTTCAATGTAAATATAAAGATTTGTTGGTACTGAAAAAGAAATATTTTTACTTTTTTTTGTCATTAAAGACATCTGTCTGTAAGTTACGTACACATGCTTTTCCCAAAATAAACCACAGTTACACTTCAGATAACACAGAATAAAGTGTAATTTGCTAGTGTAATTCAAGATTTTGCTACTGTAATGAATTGTCAGAGAGGAAGCTATAAAAATCTTGTCATGAAAGAAACTCCTAGTACCAAACACTCTTTGATTGTGCCATGATAGGCATTGCATAATTTATTGGGTTATGTAGACATGAAAAAAAGCTTAACAGAAAAAGTAAGACTTATATGCTACTTGGGGTATGAACTGTGGTGAAGATGGGGTTCATGAACATAAGTTAGGAGCATTCACAGCATCATAAAAATACCAAAATTAGCCATGTTTGTATGAAATAAAATGTTTTATGAGGTTGTGTTTAATATTTTTTAGATTATGCTGTACATAAAAAGTTCACTACAGTAATATAACAGTCATAAAGTTATTTATAATGAATATGTAGGGCATTTTTATTGCCTTACATTTTGAGCTTTGCGATTGCTAAACTCCATGAAAATTTACCAGGGATTAGACCATGTATACATGCATGCAAGATCTATCACATTTTCTTGTCACTTAATTTTTACTTAATGTTCATATCTTATATGAACATGCAACCTGTATGTTTTTGGCTGAGTGGCACAGTTTGCTGAGTTAGTTTTCATGTCTGTTTTTACTTCTTAAGGAAGACAGAAAAAGAGAACTGGAAGCCTAAAATTTCTATGCCAAATACCAACTTGTCACTATACCTCTAGATTCACATTTACTGCCATAATGAATGTTACTTCTGTAATTTAAAAATTAATTTCACAGATATTGTTATACTTTAATTTTATACAAATAAATGATTAAGTAATTTGAAAGACTTTGAAAAAATATTTTATGACTGTAAGAGAATTCCAGTTGTTTTTTTAAGTTAATATAAAGTATTTGGGCATGATTGTATTTCATTAAAATCTTTCAGTTTTTCAGTTTCACATTTAATTAATTACAATTAACTGGACCATATATAAAAAAATATTGAAGCTGAGAAAGAATTGAAACCCCCATATATATGAATAATTAATTGGCACAATTGATAAATATAATATTTTTCTTGTTTCTGCTATTCTAAAATAATGAGGTCAAAAGTCAAAATGCACATAGTGTGGTATTGCATAATGTGTTTGGCTGTAACTATGCACCTCAGTTGCTTTGTAAACTTGCCAGGTGTTTACTGTTGTTCTAAGTTTAATATCGTTAAGTTTATTCTTCACTCATATGGTTTTTGTTTTCTATACACGTTATATGTGTATGTAAAAAATGGTTTTGAAAATTCTACTAAGTGGTAAAACTGGTTTTAGTCCTCATTATACAAAATTTAAAATTGTTTTTAGATATTCAACAACGGAGTTAAGTGGAATTGGCAAGCTATTATTTGCCAAACTAAATTGTTTCTTTTTTTGCATTTCCTATGAGTTAATTTTTTTATTGGCTTTATACTGTATTCTGTTTGATTTAGCTGGGTGTGAATTTCTATTTTACTTCAAATTTGTATCTTTACACTTTTTGTTTGCTATAAACTTGTTAAACAAATTTCATTTATTTTTTTCCTTGCACTGAAATATGAGTTACATTTACCTACTTTAATTTTGTCAGTGTGTGGTTGTGAAGTTATTTTTGTTAAATTTTATTGTAAAGCTACTTTAATAAAGTGAAAATAGAAAAGACAAGCTGTATTGATGTATTTTCTAAAATGTTTAGAACCCCATTACTGGCAATGTGATTCTGTTTTACTAGAAGGAAATAGAAGAACACCAACTTGAAAATGAAGAGAATCAACAATTATTTGTTACAGCATCAGTTAAATCTATTTTTATGGGAGTAAATAATAAGCATAATCAGTAGTGGACAGCTAGGAGGCCCTTTCAGAGATAAAAAAAGATTCATTTAAAACTTTACCATCAACACAAACAATACATTTAGTCTGATAAAATATTGATAATGATTTTTACAGTTCAATACATACAAACTTACAGAAATTGAACTGTGTCATCTTGTTGTGATATATGTTAAATTTACCCAAAATATGTTGCATTCAATGTGATTTTCTGCGAGTTTTATTGCAGAATATGGTATTTTATTTGACTGTTATGTACATTATGTTATTATTGGAACAAGTGCAAAGGTAATTTTTCATACTAATAAAATAACTGTATAACTAGTAAGAAAAAGAAGGATCAGTTAAATTATTGCCCTGAGTAGTTTCTTGCCTTTTTTTGTACCACTAAAATTATTTTTCTCCTCTCCAAACATTTGCCTTTGAAATTTCTTTCAAATATGGCCACCTTATATTAGTTTAAAGGATGGTGCTCAGATTGAATATATTATATTATAACTGTTAGTTTTTGCTCCAAAAACTTCAAAGTTTGTGAACAAATATTTCGTGTTCAAGATTTATTTTATATAGATCATGCAATCAGTAGTAATAAATCATCTAATTTCTTTTCCCTCCCACAAAGACCTATTTCAAAATACATAATGAAACTGTCATTAAGTTAAATAGACCTAAAATGAGATATATATTATTGAATACTTATGAATAAAAACTATACAAATTCCAGTCCAAAGATTAATCATTTGGGCTGTACTTTTATGTATTGGTATTTTTTCATTTTCTTTATCACAACTATGCTTAAAATGTATTCAAAAACAAAGGGAATATATATTTTTTAATTTTACTGAAGATGAAAGGATTTAAAACATTAAAATTTTAGTAACTAAGGTTTTTAATTCATTTTCCTGTTATTAAATTCAGTACAGATTAAATTAGGACAATGATTTAGTTATGTATTAGGGCTTAGTAAATGCATAGTTTTACCACAAAACAGTATTCAGGTTATAAAATAGTATACCAAGAGATGGATGGGTAATGGAAGACTACACTTTTCATACAGTAATTGATTGGAGCTTGCTGAGCAAGTGTTTGGTGAGGCAGTTCACCATGGAACAGAATATCAAAATTAAATGATAAAATAAATGTAACACCTATTTTATATTATCTTTCAAAAGTACTTTTAACAGATACAATTTATGTACTTTAAACAAGTGTAGAAACAAAAAATTGGATGTGAAATTTCAAGAAAAAACTATGAGTGATTACAACAAAGTACCCATACACCTAATTGCAGGCATTGTCTTCCCAAATAAGATGTACATAATTTTAAATACACTCGTTTTATTTGTTACATGAAATTTTACAAGAATGTTGCAAGAAAATTTTAACTTTGGTTTGTAATTGGAAAATGTGATGCAAACATTGAATTCTTAACAATAGTCTTGTTTCAGCATATTTTAATTACACTGTTATTTTTAATTTTTTGTTATTCTTGAACTTTTTTCGTGAATACATATAGATGTCCTTAGGTTCAACACTATTCGTAAGTTGAACAATATTTTTATAGCACTTTCAGAAATGTTCTATTGTAATTAAAAAACTGTTTATATTCAATGTACATATAATATATAATTCAACATTTAACTGGTTAAACTAGGTTTCCTTGAAATATTAACTTCATTGATTATGTACACACACTAGCTGTCCCAATATGAAAAGTTAATTCTTTTTTTAAACCAGACAACACTTCGTTTACAGCAAGAGAAGTGGTATATGTACAATGTACACAACATATAGTTGATTTTAACTCATTAACTGACTACCTGAAACATGGATAAATTAATTTTCGAAATTTTTGCTTAATGTAATATAAGTTATGTTTTAGGACAAAAATATAAAGTATAGAAACTTATTAAATATTACACACACACATACGTGTATGTTTCAAGAAATATATTTAAACACTAACAGCTGGTATGGTTGAAATGTTCTACAAATAAATGGCTGGAATGTTATTTAGTAGGTGGAGCCACAAGCAAATAACTATACGTAAAGTAAATAAAGTATAGTAATGGTATTTATAATAGTGTACAAAGTATGAAACTGTTATAAGCGTTCAGTGTATGGCGCGGTTTTACGAGTCAAAACAAAGAAACTTACAAAAACTGAAAAATAAAACCCGTAGTAAAGAAAAAAGTAGCTGAGAGGTGTTTCTAGCAGTCTATGAAACGGACC